ATATATATATATATATATATATATATATATATACATATATATACATATATATATATATATATATATATATATATATATATATATATATATATAATATCTACCTATCTCTCTATCTATAATATATATATATATATATGTGTGTGTATGTATGTACGTATGCATGTATGTATGTATGTATGTATGTGTGTGTGTGTGTGTGTGTATGTATGTATGTATGTATGCATGCATGCATGCATGTATGTATGTATTTATGTTATATATATATATATATATGTTTTTTTGCGTATATACAAATGGGTATATGATTATGTATGTACTTGTCTATGGTACTACCCCCATGTATAGTCATATATCCATGGTTTCTTGTCGATAAGCACGAGTGTGTCTTAGCGTTCCATCACCACTGAAATGAGTCTTATATTTCCTCTCTCACTCGGCAAGGTTCAATTGACAGGATTTATCTCTCCAATTGTCCACAAGATTAGCACACTGCAGATATAGCAAAACTATATAATCACTGCAACGAACTCGGCGCCATCTGCGGGCGAGTGGATAGGTTCCTCACAAGTTGTGAGAATCGAACTCGATTTCCATGCCTATTCTTTCGCGAATGATACCATTCTCTGCGCTGTTCAAGATGAGTTGTGCAATCGAAATCACTTTCAAATTTTATACATATCCCAAATGCTGCCAAGCCACCCATTCTTTACTGTTAACCCGAAAGGTAGAGATTTCCGCGTGGTTAGGTTTACTTTAGTTTTTCGGTTGGTTTCAAGTTCTTGCTGTAGATATAAGCGCTGACTTGAGCTTAAGATTTTGCTTTTTGAAGTGAATTTTACGTAAACCGCTACACTGTAGTACCTGAATGTGAGGAAAAGTAATCCGTCCTCTACAACTTCAATCTAACCTCTCTGACACATCGAAACTGTAGATATACTCAATTTTGTCCAGAACTTTTAGGGTGCTGTGCATGTGCGCGATGTTGACTTATCGACATTCCAGTACTAAACTTAGCACAACACCAGTTAGTACAAAATAACCACCAAGTACACACTGAGTATATTGCAGCCTGAACCATTACTTTGTACGCGTGCCTACACATTTGCACAGGCTTCTCCGTGCCTGCCGACGCGTGCCTGAGTGATATCGAGGAGAGTGTAAAGGAAGAGCAACACACTCAGGATATATTAGATCCCTCATTGGAGTCTTCATATGATGCGGATATGACACAAGAGTTGCGCGATCACGTGCCCGCTGAGTTCCGTTACTATGACAACGAAACCATTGTTTCTCCGGCCCGATGTGTTACGTATGATGACAGTTCGCAAAAGTGAGTTATAAACGTATGCAAGTATATATATATATATATACGAGAATAGTTAACTATCCATAAATTTTTATGGGTATATACATGGATGAAAATATATTCATATATACACACATGTATGCAACCACATAATATATTTTCTTATCCGATGGCTTGGCGTGTTGTTCCTGTTACTGTAGAACCCGTGTGACGGTAGGAAGATCATAGATTGTATTCTCGCTGTAGTTACGACTACTTTAAATCAGAATGTACAGAACATCCTACCGACGTATCCGTGCTCTGTAAATATGCTGTTAACCAAATCAGGACGTCCCTCTCCATCGCTCTCCATCGTATGTACACAGTCTTTTGCTGCCACCACACTTGTGCGCAGTCGCCTCAGTCGGACCCGCAGGTTACACGTCACCTATACACGACACTGCTACACCCTTGCATCTATCTCACCCGTCACAACAAATCCAGCAAGAACCCGGGGCGATTGCTTGTCTTGCATGCCTGAGGCATGCACTAGAAGTTAATCAATCGTCAAGCGGTTCACGCACAAAAGCTGAAGTACCCGGAAAAGTGGTTGGGGGTTGTTTTGTGTATTAGTGTTTACGTAACATCGTAATTGATATCACTCACTGATAGTACCTGTATCACAACAGCACTCCAACACAGCAGGGTAGGCTGAACAGTGTTTTATCGGACCTATCCGCTTTTTTCTCAGATCGGGCGTACTAATATACCTATTCTTACTTTGCAATGTTAGTCTACGGGGGCTGCAATATTCATGTATGTGCGCCACAAATTGGCATCTACTTAGGGATCCTCCCCTCACTAGCTCTATTGATATACACGTATGCCTAGTCCTTGCACTACTCTATCCTACTGGCCAGTAGAACAAGCAGGACACCACGAGCGGGTTCTTGTCTATCTACTCGGAATGGTGGTCACCATGGCTACAGTAACTATGCAACACTGCAAGATATCTGTATCTACTCATAGAATCTACCATATTATACTGCACCTAATGTACCTGTACTACACTCGCCACTCAAGACAGCAGAGCAAGCAAGACACCGCAGAGCGTGTGCTAGTGTATCTGATTAACGTGCTGGACTACTACGGCAACAACGGCGAGCAACGCTGCGATTATCGCGAGGCCCTGTCGCTGCTGCGGCAGAATGGATGGGAGGTATGTGCACGTACACCTCACTGTCTTCTAATGATCACAGTTACGATACTATTGACATTGTGGGTATATATATATTTATATATATATATGTATTCATATACATAAATGTATATATTTATACTCACACACACACACACACACACACACACACACACACACACACACACATATATATATATATATATATATATATATATATATATATATATATATACATATAGATGTATATATATATTAATATATGTATATATATATATACATATATCTATATATATCTCTGTATATATATATATAGCTATATGATATATATAGTTTATTATTATACTATATGTATATAT